CTTAAAAATCATACTTCAGTGCAACAAAATAAATTTAAAAAGTAAAAGATAATCTTTGTTCTGTTACCGGCTGCAGTGTTTCACTTACTATTACCCCCCTGCCCCCCGCGATTTAGCTGAATAACCCTGGACTAGACCAAGTTTTACCTCAGTATCTGTGAATTGTTTTAAGATATGTTCACTTGTGAGATGTGCAGCCAGTTTTTACTCTCTGAATCCAGTATTTTATCAGATATTTTGCTAACACAGCTAACAAATTAACAAGGCGAACACACTATCACCTTTGACCGCAGAGCTGAGGTCACCTGGGTGTGTGTTTTCAGGACGTGGGTCTGGACACCATCCCGGCCTGCTGGTGGTGGGGAACTGTGAGCATGACCACGGTGGGCTACGGCGACGTGGTGCCCGTCACGGTGGCCGGCAAGCTGGCGGCCAGCGGCTGCATCCTGGGCGGCACTCTGGTGGTGGCCCTGCCCATCACCATCATCTTCAACAAGTTCTCCCACTTCTACCGCCGGCAGAAGGCGCTGGAGGCGTCGGTGAGGAACAACAACCGGAAGAAGGTGAGGATGAGCTGCGAGGACGAGGAGTCGGACGGGGACAGCCGCTGCCTGGATGACGACGACATCGACAACATGGAGGAGGACGATATCGATTATGAGGATGAAGGAGGGGTGATAAACTACAGCTACGTGGAGCACCCATCGTGCTCGAGGAAAAAGGAGCTGTATCAGCTGTGAAATGTCCTCTGCTGTCAGATATGACGTCTGTGACTCACCGGAGTTTAACCACGCGCTTCATAAACATTAAAGCGTGGTCGATGATGCTGAACTGAAAAGATTCAAGAATTCTGGGGCTTCCATAAAAACATGATTTACAGTTTGCTTTCATTCAGGGTATCTGGGCTTTTCTAAGACGSAAGTCGACCAATCAGCCCACAGATAAACTGAACTGATGTGAAACAGCATGCACACCTGTAAAGTTAATAAAAAAAAATACCATAAAATGCTTTGAATATTGCTTGTGTGGAACAAAATAACATATTTGAAATAAATYTCTCATTTAATTTTCTGTCTCTATAATCTAATTGGCTGATTATAAAAAACTAAACTTGGTAAAAATCCAGACTTGACCTGTCTGGAACTCGTCAGATTAGTGAGATAAACAGAAATAATTCAGCAGGATCTCAGTGGTGCAGAGGGATATTCTGTTCAGGTCGCCAGTCAGTTATAGACACACTGATTAACCTTTTAGCCACATTCTGCTACTTTTAGCTCTTAGCTAGCTTTTTGCTACTATTGGCTTTTTAGTTTTTAGCTTGCCTTTTAAAATGCCTGTGACATGCATGTCCTTCAGCTGCAAAAAAACAAAGAAAACATTTTTATACAAACGATTTTACCCATTTTGTTATATAATCGGCACACGTTTGTGGCTCAGCCAAAGTGAAACAGGAAGTGACATCAAAGGGGAACTCTTTAAGAAAACTTGGTCTTTGTTTATTGATAAAATATTTAAAGTCTGCCTCTTCATCGTCTCTGGTGACTCAAAATAATCTACAGAAACAGATTCATCTCTACAGTCTGTGTTTAGCATTTCACATCCAGACACAACCCCCCTATGACATCACTTCCTGTTACGTCACGCGCAAATATCTCAACAGCCGTTCATTRTAACGACGTGCAATTTTATTTGCATTATGTCATCTTTGCATAAATGCATTCATACTCGTTACTAAAAACTGATGTCACAGGCAGTTTAACACTTTTAGCTAGCCTTTAGCTTTTTGCTAGTAGTTTTCTTCTTTTAGCTCATGTTCTTCAGCAGATCTCAGTGGTTCAGCTCTTGTTCAGTGATCTTAATGAGGGGTTTGTGGCACTTGGTTTTTGGTCAGCAGCTGTGATCCTCCTCAGTAAAACCCAGAGTCCTGCAGTTTTTGGGGTCGGTGGTGCAGAAGGCTAAAACGTTGCTCTGCTTCCTAACCTGCACCGACCGACTCTTTCTGTAAAGAACCTGCTCCCTGTGGAGCCTGGGAGAAAGTTGTCCTCGCTGCAATAAAGTTTTTATGATTCGCTGCTCTTCTGTTAATTTATTTAGCTTCAGTAGGTGAGGAGCAGCCSATCTCAGAGGGTGGAAGCAGCGAAGAGGCAGCAGGAGGAAACATTCTTGTCTTTCTGTCTCTGGATTATTTYATTTAGTTTGACCAGAATTAGTTAAACTCTTGGAAATTTTCAACTAAAACCYCCAAGAAATGTTAGGTCTGATGTTATCACCATGTTTGTGAACAGCTTTAAAAATACGTGGCCCAAACAGGCCATGATGTAGCTGTAGAATATCTAAAATATCCTCAATTAAATTCTCATAAATGTTTGTTTTACTTTGGTGCCTAAAAACCCAAATAAGCATTTATCAAACTAGAGAATTTGCATTTCCTACGAAAATGCAAGGGTGAATGCCTGTTGCGCAAAACGTAAGCTGAAAGCTAAAGGTAGCAGACTCAAGTTGAAAGTAGCACCCAGATGGTGAAATGGAAGTAAAAAATTAAAATTAGTAGGAAAAACCCCCATAAAAATAGGAAAAAGTGATAATTTCAAGTGTAATAGGTAAAACAGCCGAAGTTTTCAGTGAGACAGCTAAAAATAGCAGACTCAAGTTGAAAGTAGCACCCAGATGGTGAAATGGAAGTAAAAAATTAAAATTAGTAGGAAAAAACCCAATAAAATTAGGAAAAAGTGATAATTTCAAGTGCAATAGGTAAAACAGCCGAAGTTTTCATTGAGACAGCTAAAGGTAGCAGACTGAAGTTGAAAGTAGCACCCAGATGGTGAAATGGAAGTAAAAAATTAAAATTAGTAGGAAAAAACCCCATTAAAATAGGAAAAAGTGATAATTTCAAGTGTAATAGGTAAAACAGCCGAAGTTTTCAGTGAGACAGCTAAAGATAGCAGACTCAAGTTGAAAGTAGCACCCAGATGGTGAAATGGAAGTAAAAAATTAAAATTAGTAGGAAAAAACCCCATTAAAATAGGAAAAAG